GGGGGCACCCACAGAAGTAGGTAAGAGAAGAATTCCTATTCTGAAGTCATGGCAGTAACTGTAATGGGAGGTGGGGGCACCCACAGAAGAATGGTTGCTGTAGTTGAGCGTTCACTTTAGCTCCTTGCTTCCTGGGAGTCAAGGTAAAGCCTGGATATGATGAGTTAGTTCTCAAACTGAGCGTATAAATTTGTCAGGAGAAATCACACTTTTTTCTCATCCTAAACTGAAGAGTAGTTTAAAGCATGAGTCTATAACGGCTAGTGAACAGTGAGAATGAAGCAGTTTTATAAAATACGCATAAAAATGTAAACGGCCATTTCTTGTATAAAATATGAGTCAGGATCAACTCAATGGCAAAGGTGTTTTTTTTTTTTTTTGTTTTGTTTTTTAAATATGAGTACATTGGAGCCCTGGTGGTATAATGGTTAAGAGCTCTGCTGCAGACTAAAAGGTCAGCAGTTCAAATCCACCAACCTCTCCTTGGAAACCCAGTGGGGCAGTTCTCCTCTGCCCCGTAGGGTCACTATGAGTAGGAATCAACAGCATGGGGTTTGTGTTTTCTTTTGTTTTTTCAGTTATAGAGTACATTATGCTTCTGTGAAGGTATTTTTGCATGAAGTTAAAGTGATGGAGTTGCCTTTAATAACTTTGTTTCCGGATCAAAACAAGAGAATCCATTTAATGTTGGGTCAGACTGCATCACTCTGAACTGTTGTGTGCACCTGCATTTTGATAGGTGGCAGACAACAGACATTTCAAAATGGCGGGCACTGGTTGTATTAAAGCATTATTTATTCTGTGGAATAAATGGAAAATATGTGTTTTAAGAGGTCATAGGTGACATTTTGCCATAAAAATTAAATACATTTAGTGGTATTATTTGAAGGCCCATCTTCAGAGGCAGGTGGCAAAATATCTTCAGTCAGGTCTCGACTTTTGTCTACTAGTGTTTGTCTTTTCCATGCTGACTTCCAAGAGCTTTCTTCATTATAGGTATTAAATGCATAGGACTTACCTGTGCCAGGCACCATCCTCAGAATAACCCCCATGAGGTAAGTAGTGTTATTGATCCCCTTTTGGGGTCCTGGTGGTGCAGTGGTTAGGAGCTTGGCTGCTAACCAAAAGGTCGGCAGTATGAATTCACCAGCCGCTTCTTGGAAACCCTATGGGGCAGTTCTACTTTGTCCTACAGGGTCGCTATGAGTCGAAATCGACTCCATGGCAACGGGTTTGGTTGGTTGGTTGGTTTTTCAACATGCAGAAAAATCTTAGATGCGAATGACCAGGAAATTTAACCCTCTGATTTTAATTTTTAAAATTCTCAGGTCTTGTTGAATTAATACAGAATAGCAGATGTTTATAAAGTCCACTTTTTAAATTATTTCATTCATTCAACAGATATTTAGTGAGCTAGTCTAGGTGCTGAGAATACAGCAAAGAGCTAAACAAAGCCTCTGCCCCTCCCGGAGTTTAAATATTGACGGAGCAGACTCGTAAGAAGTAAACACGTCTGTTAGAGAGTGATAAGAAGGAGGATGTTAACTGCTGTCATGGGATGGCCAGAGAATGCCTGAACTACTTTTTTGAAGACTTGGAAAAAATAAAGCCAGTTTGCGAAAACAACCTTCAGAAGGACACCTTCTTCCACCATTTCGTCCCTTTATCATCTGAAGTTATCTCCTGGGTCACCGTTATCCCAGCCCGGGATAACGGAGCATGGAGTTCCCAGAACGATGCAAATGAAAATGTGGTTTAAAAAGAATCCTTTGTTTAAAAATGGAATCCTGCAGCCGTCCTGCGCTACATCGGTCTTTAGTTGACCTGGAATCTTCCCCCGTTCTCAGGGCATACGGCTCCTGCGAACTGATGAACGTGGCAGAGGTTGGGGATCGGGCCTTAAATTCGGCAGAGATCCGCCTCTGGATCAGAACCTGCGCGGGGGCCCGAAAGGCCTGGTCCACTGAGCGTCTGGCGGTCGGGTGGGGGCTCCCTGCACCGCCCCACCCCCTGAACCGCCCGGCCCCCTGCGCCGCCCCACCTCCTGCACCGCCTCGCGCCCGTCCCCGCGCAGAACCGCCCCCGTCGCCACCCG